ATTACCATTATTATGTTAAAGTGAGTCCGTTCATAAATACTAATGTGTTTTAATTATCACTTTTTCTGCTTTTTATCTGTCCTTTCTTGTTTCGGTTTACTGTATAACGTAGTGTAGCTGCGTGTCTGCCAGTCAGACCGTTTCAGTTGTACTGAAAAAACGTCTGTTTCAGTCTACAGTCGAAGTAACAGTCCTTGAAAGAGACAAACCCAAGTAAAACAATTTACATCCGACTGCAATCGTAAACAAGCTGTTTAAAACGCACGGCAGTGATACCAAAGCAGCATCGAAAACTAATCATGATGGCGGTTGGAGGACGAACGAATTTGACCACAATGATAGCGTAGGTCGCCTACGGACTGCATTAATAAGCTTCAGTTTATCATAGTCACAGTGCTTTTTTCTTTCATTCTGTGTAGCACTATAATGAACGAGGTGCCGTTCCATTATGCCAAGAATTCCGGACATTTCTGTCGGAAGTCCAATGAAAACGTTCCTTTTCGGTTCGGTCCGACCGGAATCTTCACGATCACCTTCCACCTCTGGAATTTGTCAACTTTGACCGGTCGGACCGATCGGAGCGAAATTTGCCGTTCCATTTTGACAAACCGGTTCATTCACCTACTTCTCTTCGGTAGATTTCACTTATGTACGGAATTTGAGAAAGGAATACAAAATGGTAAGAGCCATTCCTCTTGGTTGGTCCGGTTTGATCGGAAAATGTCGTTGCATTTTTCCTCGGGTAGTTCCACTGGTCTCTGACCGGTCGGAACGGCACAATGAAAAGCATCCAACGAGTGTCGATTTTACGCGCAAATCCGACCGCTATATTGGTCTTTAATTTGTTGCGGCGTTTAATCAACCCGGCCATCAAAAAGTGCCCCGACGTCGCGCATCTCCCAAGAGGATGAATCATGTTACCACGGCTGTAGGTTACGCTTTGTGCCGTTCTATTTTGAACCATTTTGTTTGGCTTGTTTGGCTTAGCCCGGTGAAGTGTTGCCTCCCCGTAGCTCTATATGACCATATTTATCGAATGTTTAGGTTAGGTAGTCGAAGTGTTTTCTATTTTTCCCGGCATTACATGTAAATATCAGTATCATGGTCATACTGATAATCATAAGGAATTTAAGGTGATGCCCCTTTTCCACATTGTGGGGGCGTGCAGCCTCCTTACCCTATTTATGACCAAAATCTTCGATTTTCCCTACTCTATTTATGACGTGACCAAAAAGTCGATACCTTATTTGAGACCGTTGAGGCTAGCATAGTTGAATACCTCAAGCAATACCTCAAGCAATAAGGACACTGCGACCAGCTTCTATTTTGTTGTTCGTGCATTAATGGCAAACTTTATTACACCTGTTTAGTTGTAGGCGACGGTGAAATGAATAAGTAATTCCTTCGCATTATTAACCCCATCGTCAAGCAAAGCCAGGGCTGTGGTGATGGTTTGAACTCTCACCTGGAGATCTATTGTCTGATCTAACATAACTGACGTGACTATTGAACTCTGACTTATGAAATCGCTGATTTAATACAGTAACGGCATAAAGAAATAGTAAGAAAGGCTAATTAACAGACTTAAGCACTTGTGGAACTTTTTATTGTTGGTCAGGTTGTTAGGGTTTGGAATCTAATAACAAAATTGTTTGTTTAGCTGATAGCAGCAATCTTCACAGCAGCAGCCATCGATGGGAGCACATAAGAACAAGAGTAGCGGTGGAATAGAGCTGTGCTCTGCGCCCAGTACCCAGAGTCTTGGAATCAACTCCACTTCGCTCCGCAAAAGTCGAACACGAGTAGAAGTATGTCTTTTGTGCCTGTGTGGAATACTTTTGTTGATCTGCGTCATTCTAGCTACGTTATTTGCAGTGGAGCTTTCAATACAGAACGAAGAAGTCCCTAAACCATCGGAGACTAACAATAGCGGGACATCCTCAACACCTCCTCCAAATCCTACCACTGGAAACTTCAAGCCAAGCGTGTGCAACACAGCAGAATGTCTTGAGCTTGCAGCACGCTTTAAACGGAACATGAACGAGTCCATGGACCCATGCGAGGACTTTTTCCACTTTGCCTGCGACGGCTGGATACGGGACAACCCGATTCCTTCCTCCCAAAACGAGTATATTACATTCATCAAGAAGATTCAAGCCAACAATGAGAAGCTCCGAAATATGCTGGAAGATGTCACCGGAAAACGTGATGATCCGGTTATGAAAGCGAAGAGGTATTATCGCTCGTGTATGAATGAGAAAGAAGTTGAAAGGACAACCAAACAGCAAATTTTGGAGCTTATCGAGAGCCTTGGATCCTGGGCTTTGGACAATAAAACGTGGAATGGGACAGCCTGGAACTGGAAGAGTGCCCTAGTAAAGATTCAAAAAACATTTTTGCATTCCTCTCCTTTGTTTACCATTGATGTGCTAACAAACCCTAGACATTCCACAAAACATATTGTAAAGGTAAGCTTACAATAACACCAAGCTATGTGCCAGGCTTATTGGGGTGACTGCAGTTTTTCAGTTATATACAACGAAATCTAATCTAAACGACAACGAATCTATTCTCAAATCGTATCAAAGATCCCATAGTTTCAAAATTAACCTTACGATAAATCTTATAGAAATTATAATTAAACTTACCTAAATTCATGCTGCAAGTATAAATGTTTACTTTTGCTTTGGTCTAAATGTGGTAATTTGACATAAGAACAATTAAAGGAAAGGAAACTGACAAACATATGTCTTTGTGATAGGAAGCTTTGTATTGACATCACCAATACTGTGCATAAATATGCCTTTTGTCAATTTCCAAACTGTTGCTGGATAACTGCAATAGCCATGTGTCGTTTTGATTTTCATACGTGTTTTTTCTTTGTTTATGTAGTCGACAGTGGTAAGAAAAGTGACCGAGTTATTTTGATTAATTCCTTGTTAATTGTTTCATCCTCTAGATCGGCGAGGGCACTATTTAAATTTTCTTCGTATGGTCAGTTCGGTAATGCCATGAAACATGCAGTAACGGAAAGTTTTAAGCTAATCAAGAAATCCGCCTGAAGGAAACCTCTGCAGCGTCATTAGCCCAGGCTTTGAAAGTAGGAGACCGCTAGCTGCTGCACGGTTACACACAATTGACTGAGAGCGGCTCATTTTGCCTGGTTTTATGGAATAAGTCTGAAGAAATATTTCATTTGGCAATCATCTGTTAGGATTAAATTGCCGTTGTTTTTATTCTTTCAGCTTCTTCTCCCTGATTTAAGCTTGATCCGTGAAGAGTATCTGGCAAACAACGACAGAGTTATTGAGGTAAGAAAATGAGTATTATATTACCTTGCTCAGATAAGTTCAGTTTACAACTATTCAGCTTTTCCTTTGCTTCTTTTCATTTTATATATGTTGTTATTTGAATTATTTTTTCTTTTTTAGAAGAAGAATGCATATCTTGAATATATGACAACAGTAGGTATGCTTCTTGGAGGACAGAAATCTACCATTCTACAGCACATGTGGGGAATTCTCAAGTTTGAAGAACAACTTGCTCGGGTAAAGTGACTGTAGACACGTGATCAGATGCTTGGCCACGTGCTGCTTTGATACTATTTTTTAGCTTTCAACATAACTTATCTTTTTTCTATTTCTTGTTTTCTTTGCAGAGTATGCCTTCTCAGGCGTTCCTTTACGAGAATACGCACAACACAGTTACAATAGAAGAACTCCAGAAACTCGCTCCTGGGGTAGAAGAAACATTTTGTGGCTCATTTCTAGCACTCAGTCTACTTTCCAACTCTTATTAGAGGATCAACTGTAACTCGGTTTCTTATCATTCTTACAACTACTACGCGGAAGGAAGTTTATTTCTAGTTTTCTTTCCTGCAGTAATCAATTGATTTATTTATTAGTACCGCAAAACCAAGACAAAATCAGCTATTAGTGGCCAGTAACGTGTCGTACGATGTAAATTATTTCGTAAGGAGAATGCATCTGGTTAAGGCTCAGTAATACTGGTACTCTATATTTGATGCTCTCCTCGTCTGAAGATTCTCACAAATTTCAATCTGTCTTCAGTTTTTGTTGTTTGCTAAAACTTTCAGGATTTTCCTCATATTTACAAAAAGTTAACTGTGCTCGATATTTTTGCCTGACACCAGCTAATCGTAGTATTGCCATTTCTTAAAAACGTTCTTTTACTTCACAGTTTCAATGGCTGTCGCATTTCAACAGCTTGTTCCCTCAGTATAACATTACACTAAACTCTTCCGAGAATATCATCGTCCCTGCGCCCGAGTATCTCCGAAATATGTCCGATGTTGTGCTTGATGCAGATAACGTGTAAGTATTATTAGAGAAGCAGTCTGTGACGAACAACTTGTCCTATTAGGCATTTAGGCGTAAGCATCTGCATTGTCACCTAGATCAGCTGTTGGTTTGAATTACGATGGTAAAAAGTGTATCCACTTGTAAGAGGAGTGGTCGCTTTTTGGAACCACTTCAACGGACAAAATTTATTTCGCCCGTTCCAGGCGGTCAGAGGGGTTACTGTGGGATCGATGATCGAAAAAGCGTGCGGGTGATGACCGGGCCCAGACCCGTTCGTTCGTGTGCCACCCCCTTTTTCGATCGTCTCCACCGACCGAGAGCCTGGACCAGGCTAAATTTCAATTGGCGTCAAAATTTAATTGAGGCAATTTATTGTATTTGCAAGAAGCCAAGAAGCTTATGTGCCTTTTAAAATGGCTCAGGGATCATTTTCTGGTGTTCTACCCCTACTGGAATGTAATAAGGGCCGGTTATAGCAACCCGCTGCTTATTTCATCGTTTTGGTCGTATCCGAACAGCGTAGTTTTAACTCTATTCTGCAATGCTTATTTCCAACAGAACCCTGTCCGATTACTTCATCTGGACAGTGTTAAGGAGACTAATCCCATTCCTCTCCAAGCCTTTCCGAGAGGCTGAAGCCAAATACAAAAGACAAACTTCTCATATCAAAGCTGAACCAGCAAGATGGCTGACGTGCATTACAACGACCAACTACTACCGCGGGCTCACGTTTGCTACTGGAAGCTTATATATAGAAAAGGCATTTGACAAGAGGATGATTCCACTGGTTTGTCGCAAATACGATCTTTTCTAGCATTACATCAGTTTCAATCTTAATGCCAGATTCTGCTTAGACAACTTTTTAACTCGGTTTGGTTCAGTGATTTGATTGAAGCATCTGAAGGTGTCCCAACCAAATCTGATCCTAAGACTTCTGATTCTAATAGAGAATAGCGCCGGAATCGAGGTTTTGTTCCACCATTTCCGATTGGGATGGTTAACTGTTCGTCTTGGGTGCTGATCTGCAACGCTATCCAACGTTGAACGGAACTAATAATTTACACGGGGTGTGCTTAAAACTTGTCTTCTTCTAACGGTGACAGCATATTTTATTCTTGGACGTTCTAATACAAATCGGAATTTTTTAGTCTGGACAACGGGATAATTGACTTCTTAAAGAGCCATATATATTCAAAACATTTCATAGGGAGACTGCAGAATTAACGAGCGGAATTGGAAAACGGTAAAACTGGGCTGGTTTTTAACGAGTCTAAAGCAAGTTTGTGTCCTACTAAGAAAACCTTTTTCAATTATTTGGTTGAAACAAGAAAGAATGGAGGGTAACAGGGTAATAATAATAATAATAATAATAATAATCGAGTTATTTTGTACATCATTCCTGACGTCATAAATCCCAGGAGTGTTTAGAAATTACCAGTCGTGTGATTCAGCCCTATGACGCGCATTTTACTCATGTGGACAGTCCAAACGGCTTTGCAATCATTTTCATCCAGCAAGAAAATATCTACAGAACAGGCGTTGGAACTGGATAACATATCTACAAATAACTTGAGAGGGATTAACTTGAGAGTAAGGTCTATGAGAGTTCTCTTATCCTTTATCCTCTCTTGATTGAGTAAGGTCTATGAGAGTTCTCTTATCCTTTATCCTCTCTTGATTGAGTAAGGTCTATGTGTGTTCTCTTATCCTTCATCCTCTCTTGATTGAGTAAGGTCTATGTGTGTTCTCTTATCCTTCATCCTCTCTTGATTGAGTAAGGTCTATGTGAGTTCTCTTACCCTTTATCTTCTCTAGATTTAGTAAGGTCTATGTGAGTTGTCTGAGTTCTCTCACCCTTTATCCTCTCTTGGTTGAAACTTTCAAACAGTTAGAAAAGTGATGCGCTGCAGCGGAGTGTACAGTAAAAGTTGTTTAATTCAATAAAACCTGTCAGATATCGAGTACAATTCACTGACGGAATTAAATTGTATTTTCCTAGATGAGCGAAATGATGGACAATATCAGAAAAGCTTTCCGAGAGGAAGTGGCTGATTTGACTTGGATAGACAGCGAAACAAAACCAAGACTATACCAAAAGGTAATATTTTACAGGCTTATCACTTTTCTTAGGTTGCCGCGCTATGCTCTGGAAAAGAAAACAAACCATATTGGTCAAAGTTGTGCACCAGGTGAGAATATTTGATAACAATGACAAGTTACTTCTTGTAATCAGTCAGTTTTTCTATGTAAGGAGCTTTTAAAATTTTATCGCTCTACCAATTATTTTTGAAGTTACTTTGACTCGTCCACCATCACGAAATTTCAAAGGTGCTACTCTTCATCAATTAGAATGAAAACGTTTCCTCGAAATATAGTGCAACTTCCATTTCGTCTATTATTTGTCAACTGTCTCAGTTGTCTATTCGTTCTATTAGCATGAATATTTATTTGGCATGATGATATCATCTGACTATAATTAAATTCGTATTCAAATGGCAACATAGTGAAAATATGTTATTAACAATGCACTGAGAACTTACGTTAACATGTTGAAGTATATCGATAATCTTTTGTTTCCTCCCAGGAAGATGCGATGGTCGAGAAGATCGGTTACCCAGAAATATGTGTAAATAGAACTCTACTCAGAGAGTACTATCAAGGGGTGAGTGTCAGTTGAATCATCAAGCTACTTCAAGTATCCATCATAAACAGTGTCTTTTCGGTGTATCCTTCCCCATTCCCTTTTCGTTTCTTTTTTCCCTTTCTTGGTACGGGAACAACAGACCTCGGAAGGTAACTTTTTCTACTCTACCTATTCTTTGCGTCTCCATCGATGATCACAGGTGGGAATCAGAGTCCAGTCCAGAGTGGTCAGCAATATTTTTTTCATGCTAGACGAAATCCAGCAACCATGTTCCCAGGGCTTTCCCCTTAGAGAAATCTCTAAGGGAAAAGTCCTGGGAACGAGGTTGGAAATCGAGGCTATCTGAAACACTTCTGTGGAGAATTCACAGAGAAGAGACTCCCAGGTTTCGGGGGGAAGGATTCAAGGGATATGCTAACTAAACTATGTAACTAAGGGACGATTATAGATAAAATCAATAATTCAGCAATGACCAAAATGACTGCCAATCTTTCTTCAGCTTTCCGGTACAAACACGAGTCGTTTTGTTTCTTTTTAGCTTGAAGTAGACGACACAAGATTTTTGTTGAACGAAGTAAATGTCAGCAAGTGGTACTCGGCACAGTCTCTCGCTAAGCTGAGAAAGCCTTCAACGCGTGGACAGTAAGTGCATTAGCTGTTTTGCAGCGATGAAATGTTCCTCACATTATGCGCATGCTAATATCAGTATCACCAGACAGCCGATACTAACCCATGCTCGTAATCCTTCGTACAATTAATGCTAAAACAAATATTTGTTTTAAACTTTAATTTGAGGTTTTTTTTCCAGACTGCGATGAGAAGGTCACTAACATGCAGCTGAAAGATATTGCCGGTTTGATGTAATGCAACACTCAGGCCTCGCCATCAGCCGCGCTGAAAATTGAAAACAAAATTGCAAGTTCAACTGCACTACTGAGGCAGTAGTTGTCAAATGGGTGTGATGTGCTGTTTCTTAACTCTTCTTGTACTGCACACGGCATACATTCACGAAGTTCACAAAGAGAGTGTGGAGGTTACATTATGGCAAACGCAATTAGTTTTGTCTTTCTTGGTTCTATTATAGATGGTTCGATGGGCCACAATCTGTTAATGCATACTACCAACGAGAGAAAAATGAAATAAGTAAGTCTTGACATGCCGTGCCAGAAATATGTAATATTTATCTAAGATGCGACAAGTGAATCATCCTGTGACACAAGCTAACCAGAAAAAAAAATATGTCCGAGTTCTCTCCTATCTGGAGTTAAATCTATGACCTCCTGGGCAAAATTAAGTTCCTCAAACCACCTGCACGAACTATCGAGTTTTTGTTGTATAACTGGTTCATGCTTAGTTATGGTTCTCAATACTGCAAGATAAATCACACCACTATGACTCTACTATTTTTTTATTGCAGATGTCCTGGCAGGGATACTTCAGCCTCCATTTTACCACGGCCGCTTAGCACCACGGTATGGAGGAATATTATTTAGGGGGCACGCTAAATATTGGAGGCAAACTATTTAGCGACATGATCACATTAAATACTGGGGGAAAACTGTTTAGCGGTCACACTAAATACCGGAGACAAACCGTTTAGAGGTCACACTAAATGTTGGAGGCATATTATTTAGCGGTCACATTAAATATTGGAGGAAAACTGTTTAGCGTTCACTTTAAAATAAATAAATACGCATTAAATACTGGAGGCACATTATTTAGCGGGCACCCTAAATGCTATCTAAAAGATGTTTTCAACAACGTTACTCTATAGACTTACCTTTGTTCATATACACAGAGCAGTGAACTTTGGAGGAATTGGCATAGTCTTGGCTCACGAGCTTACCCATGGCTTCGATAACGTCGGTAAGGAATATAACAACATAGCTGCAGTGGCTGCGTTAGCGATTCAAACCTTCCCTAGCTAATAATTTCCTTCACCTGCTAAAGACTGACGAGAAATTTTGTTTAAAAAAAGGCGCCATTTGATGCTTCCGAAATTATCCGCTTTATTTGCTGGATTCAAAAGAGACAAAAGAGACAAAAGTATTCCGCATTGGGGACTACTATTGTTTGGGGTTTTTGCTTATAAAATGAGGATGTATGTATCTCAAAAATCTTTAAAATCAGGTTGTTATCATCTGTCATGTTTGTTGATATCGTTGTTATTAAGAGCTGCTGCTATTGACTTTCTTTGTTAACTCATCATTGTAGGTCGTCTTTTTAATAAATACGGTGAGATCGGCAAGCCGTGGTGGAGCAACTTCACATTAGCTGGATTCCAAAACAGATCCCAATGCCTGGTTGACCAGTACAATGAATATCCACTGGATGTGTACGGCCGAAAGATATTTGTACGTAAGGAGTAGCGTATCGCGTATAGTGGAGCTAGCGGCTAGAGTCGGTGAACCACGGGAAATTTTATTCATTATTTACCGACTTGACTAAAGAAGGCGTGGTACTAAGCTCATGATCAGCGCGCCGGAAGAGAGACTGTTTTTTTTTTAGATTATAAAATCTAATTCTAATTAACTTATTTTGATATTATAAATAACTTATCATGTCCCCAATTAGCAGAAATGCTAAATCCCTTGATACGATGATGCAAGAGACCGCAAACGATAATGCTGGCCATGTATTTTCTGCGGCACAGTTTTTGTCTGTCCGCAGTCTCCTTACCGCGACAACGATATGATATTCTGGATCTTTGCCTATTGTCCATTGTCACGCGTTTTACATGTGACGTTGACCAATCCGCAAAGATTTGGATTTTAGTCTCATCTGAGCTTATTACTATCATGTGTATTTGATGGACGCCGGATCGGTCAGCCAGCCGGTTGCTTCACTTCTTGCTGCATGCTACACCGTGCTGACGAGACCCAACCAGGTCGAAACAGCTGTCTACGCGGGTTGCAATTCTTGGCTTTCAGTTTGGACTCTTTCATGTTGTTGTCCCGTTAAGCTCTTCACGTGTTTATCAACCTTGTTTCATTGTTATGTTTAAATCCCTTGACACTGAAATAAAGTTTTTTGACACTTCCCTCTCGCAGACTTCTCTCAAACCACGAATATATCCATATTGTCAACCTAACGCGAAGACCGTGCTGGTAGAACATTGGCTTAGCATTGCGTTCACGAGGTCTACATAGTACAGACAGTAGTTGTCGCTTCATGTCACACAAATGTTATATAACCGCAAGAATCTTTAAATCACGTAAAAGTAGCAAATGCTAACAATGTAGTGTTAAAGGTAAAACCTAGTGAATCAATATCCTAACTCGTTAGGTTGACGGTCGACTAACATTACCCGAGAACATTGCCGACAATGGAGCTCTCAAGATTGCCTTTAGGGTGAGCAGAAGAACACTTTTACATTACTTAAAATATTGCAGGAACAGACTTTGTTGCTTTGTTTTGTTTTGTTTTGTTATGAGTAGATATTATTCAGCAGTACCATTTTTTCTCACAGGCTTATAAAAACTGGGTGCAAGAGCATGGCGTTGAGGAGCTGGTACCTGGTCTGAAGAGATCTAGTGAACAGATGTTCTTCCTAAGCTATGCACAAGTAATAACGTTTAAATTCACGTCAATCTTTTGAAAGAGTTTTCGGCTCCTAGTCACATGGGATCACAGATTGGCCGAAGTTAAAATTGCACTAGTTGGCAAGATTATATTAAAAAAGACACAAATCCTTCAAAACATAAGGTCGAAGAAAACAGAGTCGATCATCTTTTGTACGGAGACCAAAGGACAACAGCTGAGGGAGGTGTCCGCGATATAGAGGTAGAGGTCGAACCTCTCCTTACGGACACCCTCTACCTCCATATTGCAAACACCTCTACAAAACGGACACTCAGTTGTCGCCCGTTGGCAGGTTGGTGCCCGTACTAAAGAGGGTCAAATGTATATGAATTCTAGTTACGCTGGGACCAAATCAACTGTCCGTAATATGGAGGTTTCCTTTTTATAGTTGTCCGTAAGAAGAGGTCCGATTGTATTTGAAAACGCTTCTAACAGAACCGTTAGAGATGATCGTCGCCATTTTGAAAATGTTATATTGTGCTTGTGTACGACGATAACGCAATCCAGAAGACCTGATTGGGTAGAAATATAAAAGACTTCAGGTGGGTTTTGCGAACAAGTGTGTGAAATATCAAAGTTATTACTATCGACACAACTTCTGTTTTTTTGGGTTCTTTTCCTGTCAGATGTGGTGCAGTAATTTTAGTGCCACACAGATCTTCAGGAGAGCTAAAGCTGATCCACACGCTTTACCTATTTATAGGTAAGTCATTTCCTGGCTCCTCAGTTTAAAGCGCGCCCATGGGATCAGGAGCCATGATAATCGCTCCTGTTTTACTGCCAAACTCCCATAACTATCATTGAAGGAAATATATTTTGGTCCGCGAGGAGAATTGATGTTTCATTAACACTTGAGTCTTTACAGCTTGACAGATGTTACTCGTTACTTTCAGGGTAAATGGTGTTTTGTCCAATATGGAAGAATTTGCCAAGGCGTATAACTGTCCGAAAG